GTTGACACCCACCCCTTGGCGCTCATATGACCTTCTGCAGTTACGAGCGCCGTAAAATTCTCTACTATAAAAACAAAATTTAAAAAAATGTACATGATATCATTACATGCTTTTCATCGTGTATAATCTTTGGTACATGGAAGTAGCTTCTCTATGTAAGGCTTTTTAAAGTGGGAGGTTGGCGGGTGCTCTGGTGTGGTTCGCTTCTTCTTTCCTATCAAACATCTATCGTCCTTATCTCCCCATCTTCTTTTTTATGTTTGTTACTCTTTTGTAACACCTCTAATCTTCTGGTGCTCATATGACCTTATGCAGTTGCGAGTGCCGTAAAAGCTCTACTAAAACAAAATAGGCTCTTTAAAAATATATTTCTCTACCATCCACACCACAAGAATGGTAAATATTTTTCCTCCTTTTCAGAGATTTGCTGTTTGTTTTGCTTCCTGCTGTTATGTTTCTCATTTGGACAGGTACTGAATAAATATAATTTAGGCCTCCCCCTCCCCAACCCCATTGCAATGTATTGTTTTCTCAGTGTTCTGAGTTTGTGTGCTCCCTAGCTCAATGTGCACTTTTCTTTTATTCCTCCAGATCAAGTGGTTGGAACTCATGATGCACCAATTCGTTGTGTTGAGTATTCTCCTGATGTCAACCTGGTCATCACAGGAAGTTGGGACTCCACCGTAAAGTTATGGGACCCTCGCAATCCTAGTGCAGTTGGTAGCTTATCACAGCCAGACAAGGTAGAGTTTGTTTATTTTTGTACCTCAGATAGATATAAGCTTGTATTCAGACTCAGTAAACATAGTTATCCTACAGGCTAACATATAATGCGCTCCGTACAAAATAGTAAGTCTATCATTGTCTTGAAAAAAACCCCCTGAGTAATATATTTTGCAGGGTTGTGGTTTACTCCAATGTCAATAAAACTTTCTTTTATTGTTCAGATGGTTATGTGAGAATTTTAGTGTTTGGGGGTAGCAGAGTTAAGATAGGGGGCGTCTGGTGTGGTTTGCTTCTTCTTTCCCATTAAACGTCTATTGTCCTTATCTCTCCTCCTTTTCTTGGTATGTTTCTCTCTAGTAACACCTCTAATAATCTTCGGCACTTATTTGATCTTTGTGTTGCAAGTGCCATAGAACTCTTACTTAACTAAACTAAAGAGTTATGGTGAGATAGGGTAGAGAAGTGTAATTTGTAATCACTAGGTTCAAGACATATTATGTATTGCCAATGAGGAGAAGCATTATATTTCACATTTCATTCACTCTCTTCATGGGTGGTTGACGGGTGCTCTGGTATGGTTTGCTTTTTCTTTCCTATCAAACATCTATTGTCTTTATCTCCTCTCCTTTTTTTGTGTTTGTTACTCTCTTGTAACACCTCTAATCTTCGGCACTTATATTACCTTATTGTGTTGCAAATGCCGTAAAACACGTATTAAAACAATTCACTCTCTTCTTTCTTATCCCAAATATTGTTTACTATCTTGTGTGTTTGTTACTGTGTATTGTGTGTGTTTTTGTTGTGCACGGTAGGGAAGAAGAGAGAAGGCAGTGAGTAAGAGACATTGCTATTTAGTTGTTGTGAGCACCATGCCATTGTCTAATTAAAACATTAAAAAACCCTTCCAATCTGCGTGTATTTTCAGGTGTACACAATGTCAGTGTGTGGCGACTCTTTGATTGTTGGCACTGCAATGAGAAGGGTGTTGGTTTGGGACCTCAGAAATATGGGCTATGTTCAGCAACGTAGAGAGTCAAACCTCAAATATCAAACCAGATGTATCAGAAGCTTCCCAAACAAACAAGGCTATGTCCTCAGTTCTATTGAAGGTTTGTTCCCTTTATGCATTGTATACTATTTTACTTTTTTTTCTTTCTCAAATGCAATGTGAAATATCATTGCTAGTCTTATTGGACCTGCACATCTTGTTCATTTCTTAGGTAAGCTACCTTTATTTCTCCCTGATATATTGACAATTGAATTGGTTCCTAAAAAATGCTATAGAATTAACTTTTGTAGCCTTTCTGAAATCTAATTGTCAGCATTGCGAGGGCTTTGAGAAACAAGCGAGAGTAGTTCTGTTGTTTCGTAATTGAAAAGACATATATATATACCTTTGTCTTCATTCAGTGCTGTTGTTTATGCTAACGCCTCTAGTAATATCTTGTTGTTTTACCTTATTGATAATAAAATATCTGAAGACATTTTACAATCTATCGTTAATGTGCTATGATCATTAGATTTTGTGAAAGTCTGATGGCCTGGGGTAAACTTTAAAAAAAGATAATTTCCTTTTTCCTTTGACTTTGGCCCACATTGTCGTTAATCTTTTTGAGAGGTGAAAGTACGCACTTCTAAGAGCTACAAAAAGAAAATGGCTGATTATTCTTATATGAATCAATGATGAAAGGAGCTTACTCACTTTTCGTACAGAGAATTTGTAGGTATGGAGAGGACATTTTGACTAGAATGTGTAACTGTATACTTCCTTTTAGTTCCGTGTCTGTAGTTTTGTGGTTAGGTGCTTCGTTGTTTCAAGGCCGAGTTACAGAAGTTGAGAATGAAAATGTCAACAGACTTCATTGATTTTGACTCTCATAATGTTGTTCTGCTCTTTTCTTCTGTTTCAGTCGAAGTCGATCTCTTCTATGTAAGTGACCCATTTGGTTGGGGTAAAAAGTGGAGAAGTAGATTTAAAATAGCAGTTTGGCCCTTTCAATTTTGTTTTGTCATTTACAGGACGAGTGGCGGTAGAGTACCTTGATCCCAACCCTGACATTCAGAAGAAGAAATATGCATTCAAATGCCACAGAATTAAAGAAAATGGAGAAGAGTGCATCTATCCTGTCAACGCAATTGCTTTCCACAATGGCTACAATACTTTTGCTACTGGTGGTTCAGATGGCTACGTCAATATTTGGGATGGTTTCAACAAGAAGAGATTGTGTCAATTCCACAGGTATTGTACATTCATGGTTGTGTGCAAAGAAACTTTAAAAAGTTTTTTGATTTTCTCTGTTTTACCCATTCATTCAGGATAGTACTTGTCCATCAAATTTCAGCTGGAAGTGAAATTAACTCTCCTTGTTATTGAGCTAATGTTTGATTTGCATAAATTTAAAAAAGGACAGAATATACTTTGTGACAATCAGTTTGAGGTCTGGTCCCCTTTAACCATTGCTTCCAGTGTTTTGCATTTCTGAAGATTTCTATAGATCCTACATAAAATTTCAGAGAATTTATATCTTGAAAACTTCCAAGTATCTGAGGAAAAGTTTTGCACATTTCCCTTGGAAAGCACTGTTTGGTTAAGATGAAAGGGTTACTGATTTACTACCACTCTTTTGATCGTGTGTATTAAAAAGATTTCTTTGTTTTAGCGCTATGTGAAATTGCTTTCACCTTTCAAGCATAGCACTTTTGCGTGCATTTCAGAGCTAAATTCTTTCTTACACACAAAGCTGCCGATGGTTATAATATAATAAAATGATATTCCTATTTGTGTCAGTGCTAATAAATATTGGACACAAATTGGACTTTTCAGGAAATTATATTATTGTCAATTATTGTAAAAAAACTATCATCCTTTACCCACAATCTAAAGAAAAAAATAAAGTCAGTTTGATTATTTATGCCAAAAATTGTGGAAACTTTAAGATTGCAAGGTGAAGATGAGGAAACAGTCTCAAAAGTTGAGCAATATGTTTCCATAGCAACAGGGATTTTGGAATTTGGGTAGAGACATTGCCAGTGATCATGGCCTGGCAAATAAAAGTTATTACATTAAAGTAGGGAACTATTCACCCCCACTGAAATAAACTTATGGTCAAAACAAAATTTCTCTGTCAATGGATATTTCACATCAACTTAACTGCAAGATGTCAAAAGATAGGAGAAGATACAGTTGAGTCTGCTTAAGCCGAACATGATAAATCTGAAAACAGTGGTAAACTGAAAGTAAAATCCCCAGTGTACTGTTTGCCTATATGTATATCACACACATCAGTAGGTTTTTCTCTTCTCCTCTGTGGGCTCTAGTCTGTGTGCTCTTGCTAGATCTGAATATTATTTCTGTTCTTTTGACTCATCTTGAAACAAGGCAAATGTATAGTCTTCTGTTCGTTGGTTGTTTGAGGGTGCCACTGAAAGGTTCTACTTCTTTATTTTCCCTCTGTTGTTTTTGTCTGTCTGTCTTACTTTTTCCTACCATTAAATGACCATTATTGTGTCGATGAGCTTATCTTTCCTCAAACAAAATAAACAAAATCCTTTTGTGCTTGTGCTAACTTGCTATTATTTCTGTTTGTTGTGCAGGTATCCTACCAGCATTGCCTCCCTGGCCTTCAGTCCGGATGGGAGTGTTTTGGCAATTGCTTCATCCTTTATGTATGAGACTGAAGTTGAAAAGGTTCCAGCCCCTGATTCAGTTTTCATTCGTAATGTCACTGACCAGGAAACAAAACCCAAATCATGAAACTGTATGGAAAGTATGTGATGTAATTAATTATTGTGCTTCGTACATTTAATGATCATGATCAGTGCTGCCTATTTGACAGATCTGGTGTTCAAAGTGTTCATGGCAGTGTTGAAGTGTTTGGTTTGACTGGTTTCATTTTCCTTGTGGGTAGTGCTGGGTTTCTGAGAGGCAGCAGCTGAATATTTCTCGTCTCCCTTTCTCTCTCCTCCCCCTTTCTCTATGGTACATACGGCTTGAGACTTGTGCTGCTGCTGTCCTGCTATCTGTTTTGGGTGGGTGTTTCTCAGACAGTCACAGATTTTTTTTAGCATTATATGGACATTCAACTGATGTATCCTTATTTGAGTAATCTAATATTTTGCCAGGGCGTTCTTGTTTGTGTTTGTTCTTTTATGTGTGCATTCTTGTATGTTTGTTGGAAGGCAGTTTTTGTCATTCCTGCAGATGTTTCAGGGGAGTTCTGGTATGGTATCTTCTCCCTCTTTTTAGGGTCATCCTGATCAGTTCTGTAAGTGACTCATCATAACCTACAATTCAACTGTTATAGTGTCAGTTGTTGACAGCTTCTATGTGTCATAACTGAAGGGCTTGTCAAGATGTTGATTAGTAATCTGTAGGCTTACAGTTTCTACTCCATGTAACCATCTAGGAAGTTAGGAATGGTTAATGTCTCAGCCAACGTACAACATAAGCCCATGTGCATTTTTATGCTGTCTTTCGATGCAATTTGGGTTGATTTGTCTTCTGGTATTTATTTTGATAAATTCTTCATGCTTTTACTCTTAATTTTTAAACTTTTTTTTTTTTCATCTGGCCTGTTTTGCATTCAAAATGATTTTAAAAAAGATTATAATGTGCAGTTGTTTGATCTCTACTTTTATGGTTAAGCCTATGTTCTTTGCCGTCTTATCATATAAAAATACCCAAATATATGTAATTAGGTCAAGTTGAGTTTTTTATACAGGGGAGAAACCTGTTTTCATGGCATTTCTTTCTATCTTGGTTTTATGGCTGTACAATTAAAATTAATATGTTTTTGGATTTTGAAAATATGCATTGTGACCTAATTACATATCGATATTGTAAAGAGAAAAGACATTTTAGTCAGTTATTCCATAATTATTTGCTATATACGTACCCTCAGCAAGTCAGACAAAAGTTACACAAGCCAATGAATACTGACATAAATTAATCAGCTTGACCAAATTTTTATTAAGTTGAAACACACACAAAAGTTTTTGCCGCTCCTGTAAAATTTCTTTTTTGATATATATATAGGTGGGTGGTTGGCGGGTGCTCTAGTGTGGTTTGCTTCTTCTTTCCTATCTATCGTCCTTATCTCCCCTTCTTCTTTTTTATGTTTGTTTCTCTCTTGTAACACCTCTAATTGTCTGGCGCTCATATGATCTTATGCAATTGCGAGCGCAGTAAAACTTCTACTAAAAGTAAGTAATTTTTTATATATGTATACATTTCTCTGTAATAAGACGGCAGAAAGTTCTGTCCTGTTCTGATTTCTGCATACATGTCTATTGCAGAGCAGCATTTGTGTATGGATCTCAAATTGCATGATACAGGACTTCTTTGCTCCCTCGAAAACCCCCCAAAAACAACAAAAATATGTTTATCTGTGAGCAGTTCATCTCGTGGACAGCTCAGAAAGGTCACAAGGACAGTTTGATTTAGACAAGAGGGATATAAGTGGAGAAAAAGAGAGAGAGACTAGTATGTTGGTGTTTTTTCTCTATTATGGATTCCTTTAGTGCTGTTTTCTAGAACTCAAGAGTAGCACTTTATAAATTCAGTAAATTTTGTCAAGAACAGAAAACTGACTGAGATGGATGTCTTAAATAATGGCTAAGATTTATGTCTGGTATCTGCGGCACACTTTTCATCATATTTAAAGCTAATGGACACAAACATTTCATACTTACAAGTTGGATATATGAGTGAAGTCTGGCAATGTGAAAATGCTGAGAAAATACAACAGAAGCAGGGGAGAAAAAGACAAAGGTTGGGGGCGGGAGAGGGAGGTATTTCTCTGATCACTGTTCTATCCTACACAAATGTGCAGAGCTACACCTGACTATAAGTGGACCTATTCTTTGTAGCACCTGTCTGTGCGGGATCCTTTGTTGGAACACTGATTGGGTGCGAGAAAGAGAAGGTTGTGCAGAAACAATGAATCATTTGGAAGTGCTGATAGATGTCTGGTTAGGGACTTTCCTGGAGCAGGAAAGTACTAAAGGTTTGTGCTGTCCATGGTGTTTTTTCTTCTTGTTGCAACTGAAGTTGAATTAGATCATGGAAAAAGAATTTGATGCATGGGTTGTGTGTTTATGCAGACGGAAGGTTTATGCTAGCTAAGCTTGTGATGTATGAAATATACTGTACCCAGAAAACAGCAGTTTGAAATTCCACCTTGGAATAGTGGGAATATTTTCATAATACAAAGGAAATAGTTACTACTAGTAACACTTTGACATGTGCTCATTTGTTGAAACATTTTCTGTACATAAGTGAATATTTGTATGCTTTATGTGACTGTTTTTAACAGAAAAATAAACCTGTTAAAATATGTGTTCATAGTTTCTCTTGCTATGTTGCCTGTTGAAAAACTGGATGTCTGAACCCATTTGTTAGTTGCAGGCCTTTACTACACAGCCCTTACTACACATTGCTTTTTTCCCTTCTCAACTGAAACATCTTAAATGTCTGAAAACTTATTGTTTATAACTTGGACGCCTAGTATCAAAATACATATAATTGTCAAAGGAGTGTGGTACACAGTTAATAAAATAATGTAATTAATGTAGAAGGAACCAGAAAAGACAATTTTGTCCCCAGTCCACTGTGGCCCAAATAAGCTAAACCCCCCTCCCTTACCTTATTTAGGCCATATGTGGCCTAAATAAGCACTCCCTTTTACTTAACAATAAAGGGAAAAAAAATCTGATAATGCTGTAGACTTCCGATTCTCATTTGAAACTGAGGGTTTTCTCATGCTGGGACGACTTGGTCGCTAATTTTTAACTCTGTTGTTGGGTCTCATGATGACTGTGGTGTGAACAAAAAGCTCTTAAAATGGCTTTCAATTTGGTCGATTCAATGGCATACCCGTGGACACCTTTTGAATTCCCATGTGCAGCGATGTCACGGGAGATTTGCAGAACTGTAGGCTATGAAAGACGTCTGTGCAAGCAATTTCTGCTGCCACGCATTTCAATGAATAATGTTTGTTTCAGTTCAGTAATTTTATAGTTCGTGAAGTTATATTTCTTAAGACTTTTCCAGACAAACCATCTCTAAGAATAATTGTAACCTGTCTGAGCCCCAAGCTGCGCCTCTCTTCTTGGCTTTAATTTTAAGGATCAAATGTACCCGTGAATACTCAAATAGCCCTTTGGTGTCCAGTGTGGCGTTAAATTTGAATTAAGTCAATCAATATCTCTCGCTGTCTTTCTTATATTATTTTCTTTTTGCCTCTTGCCTTGGACTTCCCCTGCCTCCCCCACTGTCTCGTTAGCGCTCCGTTTTCCTCGGTATTCCATTGTGCATGTATTAGCCTACTGCATGTGTTTTGTAATTCTATCTTTATGTGTTGCTATTTGTAGTTCAGCTCTCATATCCCCCGCCCCCCTTTTCCCCACTTGATCTCTTTACCCCCTCCCCTCCTCTCTCTCTCTCTCTCTCTCTCTCTCTCTCTCTCTCTCTCTCTCTCTCTCCCGGTGTCTGTAGTGTGGCGGTTATAACAAATGCACACTGCCGGTCGAATTCATTTGATTCAGTCGGGACCAGCGACAATTTTCTGCAAGGATGGAGCGAAAGCTGCTGTTTTGGCTCAATTCGATCGAAATTCAACTAACTTAGACTGTGACCTTCAAAATCAAACTTTAAAATTTTTTAAAGGTTGCCAGTCGATTTGGTCGTATTGTAGGCAAATGGTAGCTGGCCCTGAATGAATCAAATGAAATGATTGGAGTGTGCACTAGGTATTAAGGAGATTCGCCGTCTCACGCAGAAGACGTGAGTTCACTTCCCCATCTAAATTGTGTTGGTGGGGGCATGAACCACCTGCAATAGATTTTAAAACTTACCCCCCCCCCACACACACACACATACACACACACACTCTCTCTCTCTCTCTCTCTCTCTCTCTCTCTCTCTCTCTCTCTCTCTCTCTCACACACACACACACACACACACACACACACACACACACACACACACACACTCTCACACACACTGACGTACACATATACACACACGCACTTATTACGCACAAAATATGTGCGCGGGCGCAATAGATAGACATATCATCCCATGGTAACTGAACGGACAAGCACAGGAAATAAATGTGAAGTGAAATACAAGGAAAAATAGTTAGATGAAGGCGTTTAACACCCCCAATCGTCACAATGTAGATCATTTAGGAGGCGAGAAATATGAGAGTTAACTTTTATGGTCGCACTAGTAACTACACTTGCTATTCTAAAAGGGACACTTAGAATTACCCAAGACACACTTACCCAAGACACACTAATGGGAATGACCAGTACTACACAGAAGTAACAATGCGCCAGAAATAGGTAAGTGTTTCGTTTGACGTCGAACATAAAAGCAAACCAGGCGGTTCCGTTGATAAAAACAACCCTGCAGGATGTTGAGTTTAATCGGAAGGAAATTAGCTGTGATCGTGAACGAACCGTTGGAGATTCTATAATTTATCAATATTATATTATTATGACGCGATATTGTGCGATTTGACTTTGCCGTCTTGTTGCTTTTTTTTTAGTAACGGGGATTCGTATTGTCCAAGACTAACCAACATAATTGAAGCAGGAGTCTTGTATCCTTCATCATCATAGTATTCAAAGCTTAACTTTCCCAAATTGATAATTCTAGATCATTTCAGGGTTTCACATAAAAGTTTGTCAGTGCAACAATACTTTAAACATGTTAGGGTCACGCGGGGATGCGTGGTTGTTATCAGAGTCTAACTAATCATGGGGTAACATGAAATGCCTCTGAAAGTGGTTTTTTCCCCCCAAGGAGGTTATACAGTAAGGTGGTTGTCGTAAGGTCTTTAAAAAAAAAACCCTCAAAAGTCTGGCAGGGGGCTCTCGTTGTTTGCCTCTCATTCAAAGGTCCCGGGTTCGAATCCGGGTAGTGACTGAAAAATTTTCTTCTCTAAATTTGTCTCCTTTCACCTCCTTTCCTGCTCTCT